TACTTATATTAAAGGAGAAAATATTTATTTACCAAATTTTTTTATCAAAGAAATTTTAAAGGGTGAAAATGTCTAAACAAGTCAAACCAATAAATAATAGTCATTATGGCCTGCCATTACCAAAAGTCTCAACTCCTTCAAAAACTCCAACAAAATCAACTCCTAGACCAATGACAATTGGTCAAGTAGTAAGAGCTCCTCTTCCAAACCCAATACTAGTCACCTCAACATGTAGTCAAGATAAGTTTACATCTTTCATCATACCTATAATACCCCTACCAATAGTAGAGCTTACCTATGAAGAGAAACTTAATGCTTTTTTAATAATGATTATTGAAAATGAATGATTAAATCTTCTCATGTAAGAAATTACAAAAAAGATGTTCCTAGAAGGATGTCATTTCATCCTCTACCAAAGTCTATTAAATTAACACATCAAAAAGATTTACAAAATCACATTACCTTTCGAAGGTAAAAATTTTGAAAAAAATTTCAATACAACAATGGAGATAACCCCTATACAAACACAAGATTTTCAATTCAATACGCTCCAAAAATAATACAACTATTTTGATTACGTTGAAGCTTGGAGTAAAATGTTATATAAAAAGAAAACACTTAGTTTTTCTAGTTTTAAAAAAACATCTCTTTGAAAATTCCAAAATAATTCCTTAAATAGTTCATTGACTTTGAACCAATGACCTCCATGTTACTTTTTACCCACTTAAATGATAATTTTGTTTTAAATTTTGAAAGTTAAAGTTGTTATTTTACTTATATAAAATGTTAAGATTCATTGATAATAAGTGTCAAATGTTACACTTATATCACTTGAATAACTTTTCATAAAATATGAGATTAATCAATTCAACTTCTAATGTAAAAGTTATTATCAATTAAATTGACTTTATAAAATTATATAAAAATAAAATAAATAGGTAATTTATTGCATTAATTTATTTTAATGTGTAATATTTTTTAAAATATAAATAAATATCAAAATTTGAATAATATACATACGTATGCTTAAATTATGTAAAATTTTAGATATATATAACAAAGATAAGATAATTTAGTCAATCTTACATCATATGAAAGTTATCGAATGAAGTATACTTACACATTTTAATAACTTTTAATATAATATAAAATTAATTAATTCAACCATTAATTTAAAAGTTCTTATTAAGTAAATCAACTTAATAAAATTTCATGCAAAAACTAAATAAATAAGTACTTCATCCCATTACTTTATTTCAATATGTAATTAAACAATTTCTATATTATAAATGAAAGTTTATTATTTAAGAAGTAAAGCAATAGTGGAATTACTAATTTTTTACAGTTTGTCATGTGTACATTTTAGAATTAAAATTAATTGAAAATTATGTGTGAATTATACTCTATTGTAATGCTTTTACATTTTATCCACATATTTGTTAATTTTGTTCTAAATTTTAGAGATTAAAATTATTATTTAACTTTTACTTATTACTTTATATAAATTTTTATATTTTTTATAAATATATATTTTTATATTTATAAAAATTATTTTAATTTGTTTTTAATTTTAGAGCCTACCTTTAAAAGTCTTGTTATATATATAATTATTTACAAAATATAAAATTTATACTTTAATTATTAAATTTCATGTATATTTATTTTAAATAAAATTACCAGTAAATTGCAAAAGTTACTAAATTAGTATTTTTTTAAATATAAATAAATATTAAATTTTTGATAACAAGCTTATTAATGTCAAAATTATGTAAAATTTAATATATATAATTGTGAAAATATTATAAAAATTTAACAGTTTTATATTCAATAAAAAGTTATTAAGTAATATAAATGTTCTAATTTGATACTTAATATCAATCAATTTTTATATTCTAACAAGTTATAATTTATTATTCCACTCTTCGTTAAATGTAAGTTAAATGAAAGGTTCAGATCAAATATAAAATTTTTTAGATTTACACTAATATAAGAAGATATTTCTTTTATATATATATATATTAATTGATTATTTTTTTCTTTCGCTATATTTATTTTTAAAATAATATTTAAATAATTTATATTATACATAAAATATGCAATTTATTTTAATTTTTATAGTATTATTTTAAAATGTATATACATGTATCACATATTTATAAATATTTAAACATAGAAATACAAATATTTTCTTTTTCCCTCATAAGTAAGTCAATTTTTTTATAAAATTATTGATATTTAAATTATCTAAATCAATATTTATATTATGATAAAAGTATTCTTTTATAAAAGTGTGGGTTATTTTTTAAATATTACACGTGCATAAATATAATTTTAGAGATCCATCACAGTTTATTAAATTTATTTTTTCATAAAAATTGTAATTGTTAAATCTCATTATAAAAGTTTATTGTTTATTGAATGTATAGGTAACAATAAATTTAGGTAATATACAATTCTAAGAAAAAACGCTTATATCACAAATTATATAATACGTTAACTACATTGATCGTGTAGTGTTAAAATTTACCATATTTTATATTATTAAGGATATATTTTAAAAAAATTATTGAAAACTTATAAAAATAGTTTATTATTCTCTTAAGGTTTTTATCAGCTTATGTCAATATTTTTTTTACATAAAACATATTAAAGTATATAAATTTTTTACTTATTTTTAATAAAACTTATAATCAAACTAATGTCATGAACTCTCATGTCAAAAATTATTAAATGAAATACACAATTAAATTATTTATTGTTGATGCTCTTTTCAGTCAAAATATTATGTAAAGTTAATGCAGTATTAGGTAAGTTAATTTATGTTGTATTTCTAGAGACAATGATCACTAAATTAAGTATCATAAGCATAATAAATTTAAATTACCAATAATTATAAGAGATAGAAGTTTAATTATTTTTATTAATTAAAATTAAAACAACAAATGACTAATAGATTAATTTAATAATGAAGTTATTATAAATTACTAATTATTAAATTTGAAATTTATTTTACTCTGAGTTTAATCTAAGGTGATTAATCAAGTATTGATCATCTTTTAAAAAAATTTCTACTCTAAATAGTACACATAATATATTCATTAAATTCAAGTCAGACAATCAAGCATTTTCTAATTCTAATGCAATAATTATTAATTAAATTCCATTTAAACCTATACATAAAATTGAAGCAATATAAATATGATTTTACATCCTAATCTAAGTGGTAAAATTAAGCATTAATATGATTAAAGAAGTTTCTTGTTAAATATGTATCAAGGGTTAGAATAAGATTTGAATATTATAAAGTATGAACATTCAAAAATCATGCATGTAAACCATAAAACAAATTTGAGAATAAGAGATAAAACATTCAAATTTAATTAAGAATAAAATCTAAAATTTTAATTATTGGAATTGAATTAGAATAAAACATACTCTAAGCCTTTAATCTTCAAAGATAGAGAGATGAAATATAGGAGGAAAGTACAAACCAGAAGAATAAAAACGAAAACTAATTTTTTTTTCTTAAATTCAAATCCTAATTCTGAAGAATAACCAACAAAATAATTTAAATGTAAAAATGAAAAAATAAAATAAATTATTTATAGCAACTCTAATTAGATCTTTTGTAATTAATGTGAATTTAAAACGTAATTGAACCCTAATAGTTTAAATTAGATAAAATAAAATCATAATTTAATAATTCTTGTGTGTATTATAATAGTTCAACTTGGACAAGTCATATATTTTAGCTCAGAAATTCATTTTATGCGAAATTAACCATCAAATTAAAATTATTGCATGAGATTTTTTAATGAAACAAAAATTACTTTAAAATTAACACATAATTTAATATATCATTAAAATAGTAAACATAGATTAAAAATTAAAAATTAGAATAATTTGATGATCAAATCAAATTAAGATTTTTTTTAATAAATGCAGTCAATTTAAAGTAATTAAATTTTAGCATCCTAAATTTTATTTTATCATGTGCACTAATTAACGGGCCTTTGTACAAAGATATATAATTACCAAAAATTGTTGATTTTGCAATAGATATTGGGTTAAGGAAAGAATAAAGATTGAATTGACGAAAATATTAATTATGAGAAATATTAGTCAATCAAAGTTTTTTGTGATCACTATAAATGCCGAAAATTTGCAATTCCAACTTGCAAGAAACATGGATAAGATCTCCAATACAGATTATGTCTCCCAAATCATAAAATCCAATTTATTTCATAGTATGTTGCAGCTTGTGCCCAATTCTTATATATAAAAAAAATCAATGTTATTTCTTTATTGAATCTAACAGCTTGACAACCATTGTTGAAGCCTTGAAGGTAGGTAAGACACCTTAAAAATTACTATTCTGAATGCAATTTTAATATTTTTACATTTAAATTATTGTTTTTTCTTCATTTTTATATAGTCTTTCGTGATGTTTTAATCATCTAAAATTAGTTGGTTTAAATTTGTTTCTCCCTTATTTTAAAAGATGAATTCTTTAAGACATCTTTTTGTTTGCAAATGCCTTGATCGACCATGGTCATGTTTGATTCTCCTTTTCTTTCTCTCTGTGTGTCAACTAAAAATCGTATGTCTTTGCGTTTCATTCAAAGAAACTTTTTGTCAATAGCTATTGATAATACAATGGTAACATATATTGGTGCTTCTCATATTCTTTGGACACATTAGGTCATAAATCATCATCTTGTTTCCGTTAGTTCTTTGTTTCTTTCTGCTTTATTCTCGCGTACAAAAAATACCAAGTTTTGTTTTATTGATTAATTTCAATGTATGTGGTGTAACTAAGGACATAATTGATGTAAAAAGACAGTGAGATAATTAAGGACTTGAGAAGGATTCTATATTTTCGCTAGAAAGGTCATTTATTATTATTGTTCTTGAATTTTTGTGCTGTACATTTAATTATATATTAACAGACTAAGTTTCATTGTATTGACAAATATTGTATATATGTTGTGTTGTAGAAAATGGGTCGTGCAAGAACAACATTGAAACGCATCTCAAAGGAGGGACTTCGAAAATCAACTTTCAAGCAAAGAAAGAAGGGACTAATGAAGAAAATCTCTGAATTTTGCACCATGTGTGGAGCTGAAGCTTGCTTCATTGTGTATGATGATAACAATGGTAATGTTGAACCAATGACATGGCCTGAAGACCCAACAGTGGTACATTCCATGATTGAAAAGTATGAGAGTCAAAAGAATGAGAAACCCCCCAAGACATTCAACATTGAAGACTTTTTTGAGAATAGAAAGAACATGCTTGAAGCTGAAATTTCCAGGGTGAAGAAAGAGATCACTAAGACCAAGTATCCAACTAAGGATCAAAGTTTTAGTAACCTTGGAGAGGAGCAATTAAAGGCCTTCATTGATATATTGGATGCTAAGATTGGAGCATGTGATCGTAGAATTAGCTTGTTGAAAAATATGCATGAAAGTGAAGTCATGCAAAATATGGCTCAAAAGGGTGCTACCTCCTCCCACCCAAGTCAACTCAATTTAGTGCAAAACATCAATCAAAGCCAACTTATCCCTACCCCTATGAGGCAACTTAATGATACTAATGGGATGACAAATTTTACCAATTCAACAATCCAAGTTCATGGAGCTTGCTTTCATAGAACTAACATGTTGGCAAATTTGCAACAAAGTGATGCTTGTTTTAGTTTCATGCCAAACATGGCTCAAGAAAGTGTTCCCTCCTCACTTGGAAGCCAACTCAATTGCATGCAGAACATCTCTACAAGCCAACACAACCTTGAAACTTTGAAGCCTTTAGATTCAACTAATAAACTCGGTGAATCTAGTACGGACTTTGCTAATCAATTGGGTGAATTTCAGCATTGTGTTGATGAACCTATTGAGATTGATGATTGGTTCAATCAACTAGGTGGTGGTGATCTTGAATCTGTTTTGCAGAATATTCATTTTCAATCACAAAATTAGCCGTCTTTACGGGGGTAGCTTTTGAATGTCTTTTCACTTGTCATTGCGCTATGATAGCTTCATAAAATATGTTATTTTTATTGATTTCATTATTAAACTATAGTTATATATTATTTTAATTATTTGTTTCAATTTTTTTAAAGTTAAATATGAGAGTTTTATTTTTATTTACATCATATATATCTTGTATGAAATAATCTTGTTTGAGTTAATATAATCAATGATAATTATCATTATACAAAAAAAAAATATTGAAATAAGCCAAAATTAACTGCAAATTTCTCGTACTCATTTTTCATTTTCCCAATTTTGATTTTATCCTCTGTTGTCAATTTTTTTTTAGCAAGATGGTAAGGTTTTGGTTTCATTATAATACAATAGATTTTGGTTTCCTTTATCAATATTTTGTTAAATATTGTATTATAGTTTACAGTAATCTCAACTACGTTCATTTATGTATAAATAACGGCGAAATCACACCACATGTATATATGCTTATTATCTGATTAGTTTTATAGTTAACTATGATATTAATGTTTAATATCTTATTAATTTAAAACTAATTTTAACCGATTAATGAAATAATGATTTTTATTTTATTATATTTTAATATCTCATGCTAATACATCATTTTACCTTTCTCTTACAAGGACTTTATATTTTTAATGATTAAAAAGTTTAATAAAATAAAAGCGTTATTTTTTTTCTTTCTAGACTCTTAAAATATGTTTGGGAGGAGGTTTTTGGAGGAAAAGTGAGGGGAGAATATATTTTTTAATTTTAAATTAAAAGAATTATATATTATTTATGATAATAAATATATTATTAATATATTAAGTTTTTGTTAATATATTAATTTATATATTTTATTTTTAAAAATATTAATTTAAAAATATTTATTTAAAATATAAATTTTGTCTTCCCCTTCTCTCTTCTCTAAAATCCTCCTTCCCAAACAACCTCTTTGATGAATAATCAAGTTCAAAAACATTACAATGAAAAGACACATGATAATTAATAAAAGCATTATTAGTGTTTTTATGTTTGGTATGAATTAAATATTAAACAACCTCTTTGATGAATAATAAAGTTCAAAAACTATATTATTTTACGAACTTAATTAAACTCTAGCTTCGTTATTTACCTCCGTATTTAAATTGTGTTTTATTTAAATTATATCATTATAATTTCTATAACTAATTTAAAATATAATTCCTTTAAATATATAAATTTATTTTTTATTATATATTTATTTTTTGTTTTTAAATATTTTATTCATATTCATAACGTAACATCTAGTTTAATATTTAACATTTAAATTACAAGATGAAAAGCTTTGTTGTAATAAACAACTCGTTATTTTATAAGTTGAGTTCAATTTCGATGCATTATTAGTGTATGTTTAAATTATAAGATGATAAATTTATAATAATATACAATTTAGTTATTTATGTTGTTTTATATTTATACTATAAACTACTTTTATACATATGGTGTATAAATTTTAAAATTTGTAAAAATAATTAAACAAAATTGATTGCATAGATTTCATATAAATTAATGCAAATCTTTTTCCGATGAAAAAAAGAGTAATTAGTTATGATTTTTTCTTAATAAAAATGTAGAGTTCCTTGTAATAAAGCAATTTTGTACTAAAATTTCTAAAAAAAAAAATAATTAAAAGGATTGAGTAATGCCAAGTATAAGCATAGAAGCTAATATTGTTGGTCTAATTTTAATCCTAAAGAATAGTTAAGTATGTAACACCTATTTTTGTTGTTTATTAAATTTATTTTGTATAATAATTATTTATGCATGTTGCTTGAAATTAGAAGAGTTTTAGGTGTGTGAGTTGCAGGATTTCTAACTATAGCGAGATGTGTCTCGCTGTAGCGAGAAATGAGCGTTCAAAATCAGTCTCTTTGACACTATCTCGCTGTAGCGAGGATACTCTCTTGTAGTGATGAGTTCTCACTGTAGCGATGAGCTCTCATTGTAGCTAAAATGACAGATAGCAAAGGAAAAAAAATGTATGATTTTTTCGTTGTAGTGAGAGAAGATCTCGCTGTAGCAAGAATTGCTCACTGTATCGAAAATGTCGCGAGTTGAAGGGTATTTAAGGGTTTCTAAGTTGAGAAACTTGAATTATAATCCAAGTTACGACCTTTCTTCATTCTCTCTTACTTCTCTCCTCATTTCCTCAGAAAATCCTTGAAATATGCACATTCGTGTTAATCAACACACTTTCAACAATTTCAATAGCTGAACAAGATTACACTTATTAAAATAAGGATTTTGGGGAGACTATCATCTATACCAACAAAGGTTGTTGATCCATTCAAACTTAGTAACAGATTTTCATACACATTCAGTTCAATCCAAAACTATGTCCATGCAGGTACACACATGTAGTTTAATCAATAGTTCATAAAGTTTAGTAGTAAGGAATGCAGAGTTATGTAGAAAGGTAATTTCAGAAAAATAATAGTGCAAAGTTATGTAGGAAGATGACAATCACAGGAACATTCATATAGAATATTGAAGGCTACAAAATACAGGAAACAAAAAAAATATAGTAAGCCTACGCACATTATATTTATCTATCTATGTATATATATATATATATGTCTAAATCAATGTTCTCCTTAGGTAGAGGTAAGATTAATACTTAATATAGGAACCAATTTTCATATCTCTATACTCGTATATTTATATTATTTATTATTAGCTTAACGTAAGACTGATCTTAACAATAGTTAATTTAGTATGTATATGCCACATTACTCGCTAAATACATCATTTGCTGATCGAGTATTCCCCTTGACAAGTATTGACATACTTAATAATCATTATATATATAGGAATGAAATTCATCTGTGCAAGGTTTATATCAGAATTTGTCATAACAGCCTCCATTTTTGTAAAATTTTGTATTTCACATGCTCAGTTTTCTTATCAGTAGTCCTGTTTATGTGCAAAAGTGAAATTTAATGAGATTCAATGTTAGCATCTAATTCCTGCAAGCCCATGTACTTTGGATGCATGATTACTTAGTCATTATTTACTTTATGCAAAGGCAGAATTTGGCACTCATATTATACATGCATGTCTAAGCTCAGTATTTAATTGCTCGCAGAATTTTATATATAGCTTACTGATTCAGTATCCCTTTTATGATATCAATACATACATACATACATATATATATATATACAAAAATTCTAATTTAGAGTTCACACATAAAAAAAATAAAATATGTGGGTTTATTTCAGCATGACTAATTTTAGGTACAAGAAAAATCAACATGTTCATTCTGCACTCAGGTTTCAGTGTTATTAGATCCCATGTGCAAAAGCAATATTAGTTCATACACTGCACACATATTCTGCAGCAATTATATATATAACAAGTAAAGAACCCATATTCTTATCTCCTCACTATTAGTAGCAGGAACATGATCCAGTACTTCCTTTATATATGTATATATGCATATGTTTTACTTATTAATGGTAGGAGTAGAGTTAACACACATTTTATAAAGTCATGTGGACCTGTACAGTATAAACAATTTAAAATACACACACTGAAACCATCATATGCAGGGATGTGTTTCATCATACATGTTTTATGAAAGAACTCAACTTAATTATTTCACTCACGTAGGATATGCATGCTTTGTAGGCCTGTTCACTTGAATTAGCGACAACTCTACGCTTAAAATAAAACAAGTTTAGTATACTTGAGTTAATATTCTTCTACCAAAGTGAATCAATCCTCATACATGTTATAATTCGGTACATACACCACCGACTCGTATCTTAGTTCAATACTTGTAAAGGTAAGGTTTCATATATATACTCATTGTATGTAATTATCTAGTTAAGTGCCTAGCCATTGCATACCTAAGTCTGTATTAAAGACCTTGATTCATTTAAGTCCTATGCTATTTTCTAATCTACTCACCATTTATGTTTATAAGCCATCAGAGTTAAAATATCATCTTTTTGTTCTTAGTATGCATATTTTCATATATTTGGTGAGAGTCCAGTCTCTCTCTTTATAGTCAGAATAATTAATTCTCTCTCTCTCTCTATATATATATATAAATATATATATATATATATATATATACACCTTACATTACAGAGAAGGGATATGTGGTTCATTTGGTAATGTAACAATCCTTTAAGCTGAGGGTCTCAATTGGGACTGAGTCTAACTTAAGCACAATATTGATCAGTAGATACATTAGTGTTTTGTATATTTCACCTACTACTAATAGCATGCAGAGACAGAGATCTACTATATTATTCATATTTGGAGTCAATCAAGCACGTTTGGTGATTTATTACTTGTTGAGGGGAATTATACCTATATGAGTACAATGATACTTATTATTTATAGAAGCATAGTCGACATGCATATGTGTATTACATCCAGTACCTAACTCCTTATTCCTTATATACAGAGAGGTATATCAAGGATATATTAACTAAAAATTCTACATACACAAAAGGTAGTGGAAGGTGTTTTCGAGGAGTTCTCAATCAGGTTCTCATTTTTAAGTTCTATTAATAATGGACTTCCCCTTACCTTGGTGAGTGAGGTAGTCCGCAAGTTTTTTTTCTTGGACTTTCTAGTGCCGGAATTTGAAATTTCTTGGTTCGTTGTGTTCCTAATTCAGAGAGAAGTTTATTAGAATTCTTTGAGCCAAAATTGCTAAGAGATAGTGTTTTTAAAAATTCAAAAACAGTCATGCACTTATTACAGAAAATCAGAAAACTTCATATTTGTGCGATGTTTATAAAATTAAGTGTAACAGATTCAAACGAAGTTCAAATCACGGTATTCAAACGAAGTCCAAAACTAACAAAAATATGCGTTGGAAATCTATTTTCATGTAGTTTATGAAAATAAAATTTTTGGGTTGAAACAACTCTGTACAAAAGGCGTAAAAATTATTTCTTTATATTATTTCTATAGAAAACGTAAAAATAGAG